CAAGGTCGAGAAGGGAGAGTGTTGACATGTCGTGGGGTTGTTAACCAATGTCATGAAACAATATGTGTACTGACTGTTTAATGAGAAACTTTTTGTTCTGTAAATCTTCATCTAAAGTACAAAAAAAAAAAACTGTCTTGTGGGGTTCATAGTGTATGCATATATGAGAACAATAACACGAAGGATGGAAGGAGATGGTGAATGGAACTATACAACTGCAACTGGTAAAACAGTAACTCTTAGCAAAAAGTTAAGGATGTATGTTGTAATCTCTAGAGCACCAGTAAAGATAGACTTCAAGACAAAGTGCAATACCAAAGATAACAAGGGATATTTCATAATGATGAAAAGGCAATTCACTAGAAAGAGATAATCATTTGTAAAATGTGTAAGCATCTGTATTAGTTTTGTAGGACTGCTATGACAAAGTACCAGAAACTGAGTGACTTAAAACAACAGAAACTTATTGTCCCGCAGTTCTGGAGCAAAATCGTACTCTGACACACACGATATCTCCATGAGTCGGAGTCAACTCAATGGCAACTGGGTTTTCTTTTTTTAATCTATTGCTGCTTACCAGTACCCAACACTACCAACATGAAGGCCCTAAATCTCTGTCTGAGTGCTCTAAACTCTGTGGAACACAGCAGAGAACTTGCAATTTAGTCTGTAACAGAATAGATAAGGGGTGGTGAAAAAAACTCAAGCTGTGGGAGTCAAAAGTTGTTCCACTCACCAAAGATTAGAAAGTCTGAATAACAATACTGCAGTGGTTAAGAGATTGGCTGCTAATCAAAAGTTTGGCAGTTTGAATCCCCCAGTCACTCCTTGGAAACCCTATGGGGCATATCTACTCTGTCCCATAAAGTCACTATAGGTCAGAATCGACTCGCTGGCAATAGGTTGGGTTTTGAGTTATCACCTGTTTTAAGGAGAGCCTTACAGAATCCCACAAGTCTGTCTCACTACCATCAGATACCTGCCTTGCCCCCCACCCCATCTGCCGCTGCCTCACTTACAACCCTGGGAATCCCATGTTGTTCCCTGGTCCCCAGTCGTAGCCCATGGGTGCGTATGTTCCCACCTAAGGTGGGCTCCAATATGTGAGGGACTCTGGGCAGGACTTTGAAGCTTGAATTCCACCAGCTACCCCTCCTCCCTTCATAGAATTCCTGCGTGGTCACCAGCCACACAAGAACAATAGGCACAACTAAATATAAAACCTAAAATGATGAAGATCATGGGAGAAACAATAGGAACAATTTCAGGGCCCTAATACATAGCAAAAACCAATACAAACCATAACCAACAACACCCAAACCCCAGAAGATAAGCTAGATTACTGGGATCTTCTAAAAATTCAACACTTATGCTCATTAAAAGACTTCACCAAAAGTGTAGAAAGAGAACCTACAGACTGGGGAAGAATTTTTGGCTACAACACATCCAACAAGGGTCTAATCTCTAAAATCTACAAAATGCTTCAACACCTCAACAACAAAAAGACAAATAATCCAATGAAAAAATGGGCAAAGGATAGGAACAGACACTTGGTCAAAGAAGGTATTCAGGTGGATGAGGACACATGAGGAAATGCTCGTGATCATTAGCCATCAGAGAAATACAAATCAAAACTACAGTGGGATAGCATCTCACCCAGAAATACTAGCAGTAATTAAAAAAAAAAAACAGAAAATAGTAAATATTGGACAGATTTTGGGGGATTGGAACTCTTATGAACTGCTAGTGGGAATGTAAAATGGTACCACTACGGAAAGTGATACGATGCCT